TATAAAGCGCAAGTCCAGCGTGCATGGAGTATTGCTGCCATATATGGGCTGGTGCTGCAAAATGCAACCTAGCAGCTCTGGACTCAATGGAAAGACATGCTAAGAGGCTTATTGGTGACCCGAATTTGGTTAAAACCAATCTTAGCAGCCTCGAACACAGACGTAAAGTAGCCAGCCTTTCGGTTTTCTACAGGATGCATTTCGGAGAGTGTGCGCAGGAATTACATAACTTAATTCCCCCCTCTCCCTTCCACCACCGGATAACCAAACGTTCGGCCAGTCTCCACCGTTTCGTTGTTGACTTACCACGCATTCGAATCAAACGGTTCGCCACGTCGTTCATCGTGCGTACAGCAAAGGAGTGGAATAATTTGCCAGCATCTGTCTTTCCATCCGATTACAGTGTGGGTGTCTTCAAGGCAAGAGTAAAAAGGCTTTTGTTAAGTCAGTGCGCTTCACCATCTTAGGCTACATCACCACTTACTATCAGGCGGGATCGTAGATAAGCGCTGGCTTAGTAGAATATAAAAAAAAACGAAACAGCAGCATTAAACTGCTATTTTACGTTTCTGTGAGAGCGTGGTCTTACCGCGGTCAGGCCGACCAATTGGTACTACAACCATAATACATCTGCAGCGGTGTACCACCACGTATATCGCTTCATAGTACATTAAAAGGCTCCAACAATTAGTCTTTCAATAATAAAGAAATAGCCAACTAAACTATAACTTTTAACTAACTAAATTATAACTTTTAACATAAAGTAAAAACCGACTTGAAATTGCTAAAAAAGAAGTTATTTATTTTCCACCCTTAGGTGGGAAACTTTTTCTCCAAATTTATAAAACAACCATCAAAATTGGTTCAAAATCTGCGAATTTGTCGCGTAACATATTACATTAATAAAAACACGTTCGAATATAGAACCTCCTTTATTTGAAATCGGTTAAAAACTAAAGAGCATTAAATAATTTCCACATAATAGCTTTTGAAAACGGAGCTCTAATTCTCCTATAGACTTGTCTTAGTACCGTCTACTGGAGGATAATGAAAGCCGTCTGTCTACATTGACTAACAACAAAGAGGCTTTGTTACGACTAATTTTTAATTTACTTGTTTGTTTCTCTTTCACACAATTAAAATAATTTTATATTATAATAGAGCATTTATTAATGAAGCCGGTCATCTACTTATAACTCTTTGATCTTTGACCTTTACAAAGATAGCCTCCCTTCAGGCAGATTTACGTAATCATCGACTTTACTAGAGACTAGAACTTGATCTCGAAGAATCCTTATTAACATGAAAAAAAAGCTTTTTTGGAATTTTAGCAGACATCAAAAAAAAGAACATCCTCCGGCTCTCCATTGTACTTTTTAGGATTCCGTAACCAAAGGGTAACCAATTAGGACTAGTCCTACTTGGTTACCCTTTTACTAAGACTACCCTATTACTAAGCCTCCGCTGTCCGTCCGTCCGTCTGTCAGCGGGCTGTAAGTCATGATCCGTAATAGGCAGACAGTTTCACAGAATGTGTATTTCTGTTGCCGCTATAACAACAAATAACAAACAAAAATAAATGAAAAATTAAAGGGGGCACCCTTACTAGAAACGTGTTTTACAATGGCACGGAACCCTTAAAGCGCAATTCCGACTCGCACTTGGCCGGTTATTTATTAAATAGGTTATACTTTATCGGAGGTTTCATATAAATTTGGAGAAAAATTTCTAACCCCAAGGGTGGCAAAATTATGAAGTTTTTAATGTAACTTATTTTATATTTCTTAGTCTACTCAAAGTTTTTCTCTAAACTAACTGAAAGAATAAAATACTTTCACATTCTGAAGTCGGCACTTTAGATCTTCTATACATTATATCTGAGCACAAACCCCGAACGTAACAAGAAGGTGATTCTCCATGAGTGAACCGTTTTGCAAAATTTGCAGCGGAACACTTAAAAAGGACGTTTTGTGTTCACTGTTCTCCTTTATCGCCTGAGACATCGGGCCATAAATATTTTTTTTCTCTTTCGCTCGCACTCGTTGGGCTTACGGAGCGCCATAGAAATGTGCGTAACAGTGAGTGTATATCGATAAATTTTTACGTTGTGATTTTTTATTCTAGAGTTCTACATAATACTTAGAGAAAGTCATTTGATAATAATAATAATTTATTTAAATAAAACTAGTTTTGCGGATTTTATCGCGTATATTAACTTATTTTTTATTCCCGACGTTTCGAGTACTTTACAGCACCCAAGGTCTCGTTGGGACTGAGGTGTATGACGTCCCAATGTCATAGTTAACCACGGCTACCTCCAGATTAAAAATTATTAATTTTTGTTCCGATCTACGCAGTACGAACTTAAAGTATCTTGAAGTCTTACAGTTGTATGCTTGGGTTGGGATTTAATTTTATTAATTATGGGATCCCAAGGAGATGGTAGCATCCAGTCATCTTCTTTATTGAAATTAGGATGTTTTTTGATTTCAATAGCCTCGCGAATCATTCTTGGAAAGAATCGGTGTTCTTTAGCGAGGATTTGTGGTCTATCAAATCTAATGTACTATGTTTGTAATGTAATCTACTTACGACACATCTTCTCGTTAGACATACCTCAAAACCTGAAAACGAAATTGTACAACCAGTGCGTATTGCCAGTGATGACTTACGGATCTGAGACGTGGTCCTTCACTGCTGGCCGTATGAGGAAGTTCAAGGTCGCTCATCGAGCTATGGAGAGGGCTATGCTCGGGGTTTCTCTGCGTGATAAACTTAGAAATGAGGATATCCGCAGTAGAACCAGAGTGACCGCCATAGCCCAACGGATTAGTAAGCTGAAGTGGCAATGGGCCGGCCATATAGCTCGAAGAACCGACAATCGATGGGGAAGTTACTGATAGATGTAGATGTGTATGGGCCACAGCTATGTCTATGGTACACTTACCATCAGGTGAGCTGTAAGTTTGTATGTCACTCGTGTTCTATGAAAAAGATCTCTGCGCCAGTATAGTGTCCAAGTGGAACTGAGAATCACACTTGCTCATATGGAAGTTTTATTTAGCTTATTGTTTATATGAGCAGTGGTATAATTATTATGTCTAGTTATAATAAGAATAATAATACACTGGCATCCATTTTGAGTACGCGAATCATTCGTTACCTGGATTTAAATCAGGTGATGTCGCGTGCTCAAAATGGATGTCGGGGCGGTGGTCGTGGAACCAAGCAACCACTCCTCATTGACGCGGTCATTGGCAAGGTGGTTAAACGCAACCGTCGGAACCTCTCCCACGCCTAGATAGACTACAAAAAGGCATTCGACTCGGTGCCTCATACATGGCTGAAGAGGGTCCTCGAGCTGTACAAGGTTGACTGTACAGTTAGAGACTTCCTCGGGCAGTGTAAGGGGCACAGTGGAGTACAATCCTTTGTCATCTAGGCGAGCGGATGACGGCTGCGGAGAACCACATAAGGATAAGAAGTGGTATCTTCCAAGGCGATTTTTTGAGTCCAATATGGTTCCGCCTCTCTCTAAACCCTCTCAGTACCTTACTGGAGGGTTCCGAGAGGGGATTTCAGCTTCGGAAAGGAGTTACAAAAGTGACCCACATTTTCTATATGGATGATCTCAAGTTATTCGCCTGCAGTTGCTCCCATGTTATGGAATTGATCACTTGTGATTTTAGCAATTCTATTAGAATGGAGCTAGGGACGGATAAGTGTGCGGTCCTCCATGTTGAAAGGGGTAGGGTTGCTAACTCTGAGGTCATAGAATTATCTATGGCCATAAAGACCCTATCCGAGGCTGAAACATACCGATACCTGGGTATGTCACAGAACATAGGTATCGATGAGGCGGACATGAAACAGTCAGTTTGCGATGTGTTTCAAGCGTGCATACAAACAGTATTTTGTCGGGCGTTAATAAGACACGCGCATATAACGGTTGGATCATGCCTGTTCTCATGTATACTTTTAGCATACTCAGGTGGACTCAGACCGAACTGAACGTTCTGGATAGAAAAGTCATGTACGTAAGAGGCTGTACTTGCCGCGGAAACATGGTGGGCGCGGCTTTTTAAGCGCTTTCACCATTCATAATCGCGAAGTGTACAGCCTCCGTAATTACTTTCTGGCGAGATCGGATGATCCATTCTACAGGGACGTCATTTCGTGTGATAAAGGGCTAACCCTTCTATCCTTAGCCAACGAGCGATAGCAAGACCACTGGGTATTGTACAGTGCATTTCCGACCGGGAGACCGTATGGAAGGAGAAAGAGCTCCAAGGGGGTTCTACAAGGCTCTACACGATCCTTTCGTAGACGCAGTCGCCTCCCTCCACTGGCTACGTTTCGGCGACCTCTTTGTTGAAACCGAGGGTTTTGTCTGTGCGATACAGGATCAGGTTATTAAGACCAACAATTATCGGAAATACATCCTAAAGGATGGCACCGTCAATATCTGTCGCGCTTGTCGCCATCCCGGTGAGTCACTTGGCATGTCATCTCCGGTTGTTCAGCGCTTTCTAACTCTTGAGTATTTGTACAGACAAAAACTAGTAGCCAGGATTCTACACCAGGAGCTCGCTCTGAAATACGATCTCGTGGATCGGAAACTGCCATATTATAAGTACTTGCCGGAAGTCGTGCTCGAAAATTAGCGCGCCAGGCTCTACTGGGACCGGGCCTTCATCACAGTCCTGTCTGTATTCTTGCGAATAAGCCTAAAATTGTAGTGATGGACCGGGCACAGTCAAGGATATTTTTGGTCGACATTACCATTCCTTATGACAAGAACCTCGTGAAAGCCGAAACAGATAAACAGACAAAATATCTATACCTCGCTCACTAGGTGACCGACATTCTGCCAGCGCCCAATATATGTTAAAACATTTTTACAACTATTTGAGCTTTTTCCTTTCCCGGTCGAACCCGACCATACAACCATAATATATCAAATTGAGTTCTCTCTTTCTAACGTGTTTTATCTTTTTCAGCAGCAATACATGGCACGAGCTGATGGCGCTGCACAACATTGGGAGACAGATGAACTGCTGTATTCGAGTAGAGATAGCGACGACAGTCCCATACTGTCTTACAGGTTAGTTACTAGTGTAGACTGCTTCGTACTGATCATGAGTTCATGAGGTCCCGGTTCGAATTACAAGTCGGAAATCACTTATGTGGTTTTTCTGTCAAAAAATTCTCAACAGCAGCCCAGAGTCAAGATTTTGGCGATGTTTCACATCCACGTCTTGGATAGCAAGTAACGCCGTTGGTCCTGCGCCCGATCTCTCTCCGGTCGTGTCGGATTATCGTCCCATTGGACTGTGAGAAAATAGAGAGTTCTTGCGCATACACTTGGCCATGTAATCCTGTAGATGGCTAGTCTCCGTTCAGACTGGCCGCAGTGACCGAAATTCGGTTTAGAGGACATTATTACTAGTGTACTTACTTACATAATATGTTCTGCATTCATTATAGTAGTGTACAATATATCTTTTTTCATTTTGTATATTGTGGGCGAAATATATAGAAATAGATATTATTACTGTGTATATCAAATTATTAGATTGCGAATCATTATCATTATCATTACAGCCCTTCACAAGACCACTGCTGAACGTAGACCTCCCCCAAGGAATGCCACAAAATACGGTCCTGAGCCACCTGCATCCATCGACTTCCTGCATGTCTTACCAGGTCGTCACTCCATCTTGTAGGGGGTCGCCCTACACTTCGCCTACCGGTACGAGGCTGCCACTCGAGAACCTTTCTTCCTCATCGGTTGTCGGTTCTTCGAGCTATATGGCCGGCCCATTGCCACTTCAGCTTACTAATCTGTTGGGCTATGTCAGTTGCTCTGGTTCTACTGTGGATATCTTCATTTCTAAGTTTATCACGCAGAAAAATCCCGAGCATAGCCCTCTCCATAGCTCGTTGAGCGACCTTTAACTTCCTCATACGGCCAGCAGTGAACAACCACGTCTCAGATCCATAAGTCATCACTGGCAATACGCACTGGTTGTACAATTTCCTTTTCAGGTTTTGAGGTATACTTGACGAGAAGATGTGTCGTAGTTTCTCGAACGCTGACCAACCGAGTTGAATCCGTCGATTGACCTCCCGGTCGAAGTTGGACTTACCTAGTCGGGCCATTACATATTACACGGAACACGGAACTCGTCAGCAACTTCGAGCTTAGTGCTCCCAACAACTACCGGCAAAGGTGTGACATGGACCTTAAACATGATCTTTGTTTTGTCCATGTTCATCTTAAGACCTATCCGTTGGGAGACACTATTGAGGTCATTGAGCATAGTGCATATACGCAAGGAAAAGTGGCAGATTATACTCTTCTGTCTTGTGTAGAATTTGCCGAAGGGTGTGTATGTGGTCCATAGTACTAAAGCCTTTTCGGAAACCGGCTTGTTCGGGAGTTCCAGCCTCTCGAGTCTGCGTGTGAGACCATTGTAATGACTCTCGAAAACAGCACGTAGACGCGGCTCAGAAGGGAAATCGGTCTGTAGTTCTTCAAGAGAGCGTTATCGTCTTTCTTGAAGAACAAGACCACCGCACTTCTGTTCCACGCCTCCGGAGTAGTACCACCATGGAAGACGGAATTAAAGAGCTTCTGAAAGACTTTAAGTACCGGTTTTCCACCCGCTTTCAGAAGCTCCGCTGTAATTCCATCCACGCTCGGGGACTTGCCGTTTTTAAGATGCAGGAGAGACATTCTAATCTCGCTCAGACTGACGTCGACACCGGCGCTAGTCCACGAAACACTCGCAAGTAACTTTTTCCGAATCAATTTTCGTTTAGGGCAGGATTTGGCTGGGTCTCTAGGGTTCAGCCATTGCGACGAGCGCTTCCGATCATCGTACAGTATCCACTTTTCATCACAAGAAATGATGCGATTTAAAATCACTTCATTATTGTGTCGGTTGAGCAAAGTAACACAGCAGTCGACGCCTGTTTGCAAGTTCGATTCACTCAATTCATGAGGTACCTACCCAACGTTCAAGTTTTTTTACTTTCCGGATTTGCTTCAAGTGGATTAATACAGTTTTATCACTTACCCCGAAGCCTGCAGCTATCTCTGAAGTGCTTTGTGATGGATCTGCTTCTACAATAGCTTTTAATTTTTCATTTTCCACTTTGGTCTCCGGCCGTCCACGGCGTTGGTTCTGAAGGTCGAAATATCCAGAACGAAAACGTTGAAACCAAAAACGTACCATGCTTTCTTTTGCGACACCAGCGCCGTACACATCATTAATCCTTCGAGCTGTTTCTGCAGCACTGGTGCCACGGTAGAATTCGTACTCGTAAATATACCGATATTTCATGTTTTCCATTGTGCGGTAATAAGCGACGCCAAAGAAAAAAATAATGAGGAAAAAACAAATGAATGACTGTTTTCAAAACTCAAATGTACCAGCTAAATTTGAATTTGGAATTCTTAACCAAAGAGGAGATATTTCAGATCAAAGTGGTCAGTAAGACAAAACGCCAATTTCATATGTAAGGACCTAATATTATAGAGAGGTAAAGTTTGTAAGTTTGTGAGTTTGTTTGTAGAAAGTAATCTCTGGAACAACTGAACGGATTTTAAAAATTCTTTTACCAGTAGAAAGCTACATTATTCCTAAGTAACATAGCCTATATTTGATTGTGATTAATAATATTTTTAATGTGAAATAACAATATTTGTCAATCAACTCCGAAAATAGATTCTAAACACTCAGTACTAAGAATCACACAAGATAATTTCATCACAAGTAAAATGTTTGACGCCCAACATAGTGGTTTAAAGTTAAATGTATAATTTACCACTGCTTCGGAAAAAAGTCTGTCCTGTGAAGAACCAGAAAGATATTCAGCGAGACGTTTTCTAAAGAAATAGAATGGTTTATGATCATAATATTATATTGTGTTGTTCAATTAATCATACAAAATGATATAATATATATAACATTGGTAGTATTCACCTCATTTTCAGGGGTTATTGTGTAAGGCAACGACGACCTCCTGATGGATTGATTAAATCGACCACTGTGGCAACTTCGGAATATGGATGACAAACGAGCAAACAGTCCACCTGATGGTAAGTCAATGATGTGGCCCATAGACATCTACATTTATAACCTTGAGAACAAAAATGCAATGCCCCGATCAGAGTAAAAAGGGGTCTCTGGTTCTCTACACCATACGAAACACATTAAGCTGCTATGTTACGCTGGTATTCTGGAGAGCGTGGTCCTTCCTTGGTCGAGCTGACCTATTCTTGCTACAACCTACAGCTATAACATAGCTGCAGTATGACTCAACCATGTAAAAGTGATAATATATTACATTCTATTTCTATTCGTACGAGTCCCATACTAAAACGAATAGGAAATAGGCTTTTGTTACGCTAAGAAAGTGAGATTGTGGTTAAGCACTGGCTTATAATAAGTAAAAAAATAAAAAAGTGTAAGAATATCCACTACTTCATATTAGCCTCATAATATCCACTACCTCGTAGTAGTGAGTGTCGTAAAAAGCGACAGTGACGCAAACCACAAGATGGCAGCATTTTCTTAATAACAAATGGTAAAACTACGGCTGTTAACAACTCGCTTGCCAAGCGTGGCAACTATGGCAAATATCCCCCAACTGTTTCATGAGGAGGCTTATGATCAGTGGTGAACTTTGATACGCTATAATGAATTAAAAAACATCCTTTCCAGCGGTACCCTGAAACATCATCTAAAATGGTTTATGTAGTTCAAAGAGTTTAATCTGTATGATTCCAGATACGAGAAGAACCGCAAGTATGCGCCATACATACGCGAGGGCAAGACGGAAGACAGAGAGAGGAGGTCCACCTTCAGCGTCCTAGCTAAATTCTTCCTCTTCAGTAGTGCCATGATATTATTCTGCGTGTTGCTGTACATACCTGTATATAATAAGGCCAATGACCAAGTGCTTAAACGTAAGTAGATAGACTATATCATTATCTTCAAAGAAAAAAATACTCGTAATATATTTGAATGATGTTTTTTTACGCATTTTATCGTGATTAATTCTCTTAATATTTCCGTTTTCGTTTCGAGTGTTTTGCAGTACTTATGATGATGTAGGGACTGAAGCATTTAATGTACTGTTAGCGTTAACCCGCGTATTGTCAGCTTTAAAAAAAACTCTTCTCTTGAATATAAAAGTGTGTGTGCCACCGGCAGCCGGTATTTAAAAAGGGCAATAATTGGGATAATTAAACGCTTTTGCAATAGTTGGGTTGGCGATTATTTTAAATTGTTATCAGGAAGATGTTGCTGTTTGCTGCCTATCTCCTGTTTGATTCATGTCACCACAACACCACCGGCGTGATATTTATAAATAAATAAAAATTATGTATATAATAAAAATGTAAATCACAGTTCTCTGTACATTATATAATATATATAATGTACAGAGAAGTGTGATTTACATTTGTCTCTCTGTACATTATATATATTCGTGACAAAAATGATTGAGAGGGACTAAAAATAAAGTAATTAAATATATTTCAAACATATGTCTGTCTGTCTGTTTATAAACGTATATCATCTAAAGTACTATTTTTTGCAAGAAAATCGTTATGAAAATCATAAAGCGTATCTTCGAGTAACATTTGAATGGCCCAGTTCTCAAGAAGTCCCTAAGTCCACTTATAACGAATGGCCCAGTTCAAGAAGTCCTTAAGTCCACTTATTACGAATGGCCCAGTTCAAGAAGTCCCTAAGTCTACTTATTACGAATGACCCAGTTCAAGAAGTCCCTAAGTCCACTTAGGGATTTTATGCACTACCAAGCCATAGCCAGTTAAAGCTTTTTATTTTCAATTGGCTATTATTTCTTCTGTGCTATGGTTTAGTTTATTTGTTTAATTTCTACCACGTCTCTACGGTCAGTTTTTTAAACACCATTAACTTTAATGATTTGATTTCAAATTTAAATCTCTATGTTCAAAAAATCCCAAGTCCTCTTATATGTAGTATCTATAGAATTTAAAAAAAAATTGAGCAAATTTTTGGATATTTTAGTTCATAAGGAAGGAATGTACCTACCGATTAAAATATTTTTAGCTCTTTTACTAATATTAGACTGGTCAATAATAATGAAAAAAATGAAGTCCTAATTGTTTTTTTACTACAATCCCCAAGTCTAAATGAAAATCCCTAAAGTCCTTAAAAATCCCTAAGTCCAAAAGGTTTTGTTCCAAGTTCAACCATATTTTTAGTACTTTTCCCCCATTAACATTAAATAAATTAGATTATCAGACGCTATTTTTTAAAGAACTCTCTAAACTATATTCTTTGATAACCGTATTTTAAACTTTTTTACAATACCGCTTAAAGGACCTAAATAAAAGTTTATGAGTAAAACATCCGAAACAGAAAAAAAAAACGACTTGGGACTTCTTGAATGGCACAGCATTCATTTAGTCTTTGTTTTATTAAAATCAGTTAAATCTATTAAAAGTTATTGTTATTATTTTAAAGTTTATGTACGCAATAATAATATAATATTTTCTTTATTTACATTACTTTAGTTGAGTTTACATGTTTTCTTACAATGTTATACAATTCATGTGGACCATAGTATTTCGAGATGGGTAGAATTATGAACTCCTAGCTGGGCTACTTAGTTACTAGTATTAAAACATACTCTTCTATCGTCGATATTATCGTCGAAGTGAGGTGCCTGATAAATTTTCTAATTTTAACATTCCAGCTGCGGTAGCGGGCTGGTCAATACATACAAATAGGGATACAAAAATATACGTTCAACCAGAAAACGTCACAACAATCCATGAACCAAAGGACGTCTGTCCAAAAACCAGTAGAAACGATAAGAACAAACTATTTCTCCTCATTGTGGTTTGCTCATCTACCGTCAACTTCGAACAGCGTGTCGCCATCAGGGAAACTTGGGGCAACTACAAGAATTATTTGAAGTTCTCTAGAATTTTCCATGCCGTTAAAGAGAAATACAAAAACTACAATGCTAGCGATCTCGAAGTAGAGTCAACAGATGCCAGTTCAAATAAAAATCTTAGTATAGATAGTTTAGATAGAATAAAACGAGACATATCCGGCTTTGGCCAGCTATTACCCGAATTAGCGAAAGCGTTACAAAACAACCTGGCTGATGCGAACACTGAGCCAGTGGAGGAGAAACGTTTCGATGACGAAAAAGAGGATGATAAAATGTTGCCAGAATTCGACATGAATAAAGTTATAGGAGATCAAGAAGAAGCCACCGATTTTGATTACGATTACGGAAGTAACATTATGAAAATACCGCCAAAAGGCTACGAGGATTCGCCCGATGTTGGCAGAATAATATCGCTGTTAAAACATGTGAAAACATTCCCCAAAATTGAGGAAAGTGAACCGGATCCTGGCAACACAGAACCAGACTTCAAGCTAGTCTTCCTTTTGGGGTTACCACCACATGATAATGATACAGACGTCCAAGACAAAATAGACAATGAAGTGGAAACATACGGTGACATCATACAGGAGGGATTTGTGGACTCTTACAATAACTTAACGTTAAAATCCATTATGATGCTGAAGTGGGTCACAAATAATTGCAATGAAAGTGGTAAGTAGTAAAATAAACCGAATGTCTTTTGAATAAGGAACAATTATTTACTTATTATTATTACCAATTGTTATATATAAAGGTTGTAGCACAAATGGGTCGGCTCGACCGGGGAATGACCACCCTCACAATACCAGCGTAAAGTAGCATCTGCTACTGTTTCGTATGAGTGTAGAGAACCGTGGTTTACTGTTAACGAGGCATTCCATTTTAGTCCTCAGGGGTGACAACACATTTGCATTTTGATTCTTAATTGAGGATAGATGTAGATGATGTCTATGAACCACAGTATCCACTTACCATCGGGTGCTCTGTGTGATCGTTTGTCACCCTTGTCTAATATATAAAAAATATTTTTTGTTATAATATTTCTACAGCGGCAGCAATGCGCCGGGTACCAGCTAGTTACTAATAAATCTTGTTATTTATTTTTTATAATATACTTAGTTAAAAATTACGAGCGTAATGATATATATTATTTCCAGTCCGCTATATTCTGAAAACTGACGACGATATGTACATCAACGTGCCGAACCTGGTATCGAATCTACATAAACACGCCAATGCTTTCGATGAGGGCGTTGCTAAAGGCAACAAGTCCAAGGAGTATCTGCTGATAGGGCACCTCATTTGTGGTGCTAGACCGGTGCAGGATTCCAAGAGTAAATGGTAAGAAGGTTCAAGTTCCATTAATTATTTTTGGAACGAAGTTCCTTATTGGAGGAGGGTACGGGTTTGGCGGATGGGAGCTAGGCGACAAAAAGTGTAAGATTTTTTCGTCACTACCCCTTGTAGGTGTTTGTTAATCAATAATATAATACGTTTATCAATAAGAATCTACTACGAAAGTAACTTTTTTTATTTCAAATGACGCTTCATTTTAATAGAAGCTAGTAATTCATTTATTTGTATTTGTTAATAAATAATATAATACGTTTATCAATAATAATATACTACGAAAGTCACTTTTTTTTAATTTTAAATGACGCTTCATTTTAATAGATGCTAGTAATTAATTTATTTGTATTTATTTTGTTAATCAATAATATAACACGTTTCTCATTAATAATATACTACGAAAGGAACTTCGTTCCAATCGAGTGTTCCACCACACTCACGCATGTTTTTTTTAAATGTGATTTTGTATTGTTGTAAAATATTTGTTTTTGTGATTGCTTGCAGATAAAATGGTGAGTACAAGTTTTGTTTGCTATTGGTACATATTTTTGCATTCATTTATTCTAATTTACATTACCTTCTACTGTTTAATAGGTAATTTTTCCCTTGACCTTAAGGTTGCCTTGGTTCTTTAGTGATAAGACCGACTTATTGTAACTACCTCCTAAGTTTTTCTTCCTGTAAATTGTATTTTTTTTAATGATTTCTTATATTTACGCGAACACTACACATTTTTAAATAAAACTAATTTTACGGATTTTATCGCGTATATTAACTTATTTTTATATTCCTATAATATAAAAATAAGTTAATATACGCGATAAAATCCGTAAAATTAGTTTTATTTAAAAATGTATTTTTTTTGTTTTGTGGTGTACAATAAAGTAAGTAGTTAAGATTATTCTTATATATAAAAATTAATGTTTGTTTGTTCGTATTTTTGCGCTGCCATACCGTTCATCAGATTGCGCTAAAATTTTGTCAACTTTTCCTTACACTTGCGCGAAAGTTATAGGCATAATACAATTAAACTACAGTAGGTTGCGCGCGTGTCGCGTACCGACATATTTATTTGAAGGTCATAATAATATGTCATTCAATGTCAATGAATGTAATATCATTCCTAATTGAACAATATAAACCTTCGAAATTTAGAACGATATTTACACAAATATTTTTTCTGCGGCAGCAACGCGTCGTGTACCAGCTAACATACAATAAAATACTATTGAATGGATAGGGGGAAGATTGAAAATTAGTTATGTGGTTTGTAAGCCCACGTGTATGGGTTCAGTGTCGAAGTTTCGAGTTTAGTTAGAATATCGAGTGCCGTGTACCACTACCTAAGATTACCCCGTGGATGTGGTAAGAGGTGACTGAGAGAAATGAAGCCAGAGATGGGCAGCAGCATCTTCCTGTCAAGCTTGGCAATTATGAAAAGTTCCCCCCTATGAAGCAATTTATGGGAGAGGCCTTGTTTGGCTGTGGACTTTTACAGGCTGTAATTGATGGATGCTAATGGTGTACTACCCATTTGTGGGAAGAGTATGCCGCAAACCGAAAGTTTAGCAGACGGATAAGTCTATTGGAAACCAAAGGATCTTTCTGAAATTCCTAACAGACACCTGTAGACACACTAATGAGACGATATGGGAGGACTCTTCTAACGGAACGACGTTATATCCTACTAATGCGAATACCCCACCCCACACAGGTACAGCCCGCGTTACATGTACGCGGGTCGTGTGTACCCGCGCTACTTGTCTGGCACGGGCTATGTGATGTCGGCCCCCACTACGCAGGCGCTGTACTCCGCGGCGCTCATCACCAGCTACTTCCATCTGGAGGATATCTACATCACTGGTAAGTCCAAACTGGAAGTATTGATCCTTTCGTTGGAGCTAAATTGGTCCACTCGCCACGCATGCGGAATGAGTTTTTAATTTTATGGTTAATTTTGTACATACATAAACTTTCATTGATCGTGTAGTGGCGGTGTAAGAATATCCACTCTCCCATATCGTCCCGTGGGTGTCGTTAGAGGCGACAGAGCGAAACAAACCAGGAGATGGGTATCATATCTTCCTGGTAACAACAAAAAATATAAAAACATGCGAATGCCCGCCCGCCCATAAGATAATCTAGAGAGTAGGCCTATGTTCAGCTGTGGACTTTATAAGGCTGTAATCGACGGATAGAAAAGTCTTCGCAGTGGCAACAAGTTGGCCATATAAATATATATTCATGGACAAATTTAAAAGAATGCAAGAAAGGTTTAATTTCTCCTTTTATAATTATGCCACAAACATTATTAAATGCTATAAAAAAAGTTTTAGGATGTTTTTTTTTAGAATTTATTGCGTCGCGTTCTACTGCAAAAAAAAATTACCAACTTTTGAATTTGAGTTTAAATTTAGGTTTAGTTTAAATTTTTGTCTTTACTGCCTTGTTTATCGAGTTAAATGTGAATTTTAACTTTAATTGCAACTGGGTTCACCTACAAACATGTGGCCCAAATATTACGGGTATCAAAATCTGTGGCACACCGACTTGTCAAGAGGGAGACCAGACTCGCAGGACATGGATGTAAACGGAAAACTGTGGCCAAACCCCGGATCAAATACAACAAAGAGGAGGTGTTGTAATTAGATTTCACTATGTAACAATGCGGGACAATTTGCGGGGTGAGGGGATGTTAAGCCCCGCCCACTTTACTATTTTCCATCTACCGATAAATAGTAAAACTACTCGCATCGTTCCATATCGATGTTGCATTGTAGTTAAGCTACCTTGAGGATAGATGGCGGCCTGCTCACAAAATGATTATAAAAACTATAAAAATATTTTGACGGTTAAAAATTCTTTAGGATGGAATGCAAAACATATTTCAAGACCTTCGTTTTTTTTTTTTTTTATAGGATAAGGGTGACAAACGAGTACACAGTCCACCTGATGGTAAGTGGATGCTGTGGCCCATAGACATCTACATCTATCTTCGATTAAGAATCAAAATGCAGATGCGTTGTCACCCATGAGGACTAAGATGGAATGCCTCGTTTCCAGTAAAAAGGGTCACCGGTTCTCTACACTCACCATACGAAACACAGCAGCGTTAAGCTACTATTTTACGCTGGTATTCTGTGAGAGCGTGGTCCTTCCCCGGTCGAGCCGACCCATTCGTGCTACAACCATAATATAGCTGCAGCATGGCTCTACCACGTTCGTATGATTATTCTACCAATACTGAGCTCTACGTACTATTTTTAGTCCCCATGACAAAGTGTCGCCATCTAGTGTTGAATACATTTAATTACATTTGAAAACCGACGCAGAGATTTTTCTAGAACCTTTTAAATAAATTAGGTATAAAATTACTTACAAATGAAATGTGATGACATCCATCTGACTAGTTTTTACACGATAAAACACAACACTTCATCCTTCTCTTCTTAATACTACGAAAAAACACCGATTTGCGATTTTCGACACATAAGCGCACAGGACGAACGCTGACAGTATACTAAGTAAAGCCACGCCCACTGTGATGACGTCAGGACCTAGTTAGAATCACAGTGAACAGTTGCTTATGCCGTCTCCTCTTTGTATTTGCTCCGTGGGCCAAACATTACAAGAAGTTCGAGAGGTTACAGTAAGCACAAAAACTGTAAGGAAAAGACTGAAATCGGCCGGAATAAATTTACACTTGTCTGCCAGAGGCCCCTTTCTTGTTACATGCCATCGAGTAGCTCGAGTTAATTTAGCTCGCAATCATAGAAATTGGAATGACACAGGTTGGATTCGAATTCTATTCTCAGATGAAGCCAGATGATGAAAGGATTAAAGTGAGTAGACTCCCGGGAGAGAAATATGCTCAGTGTAACATTATTGGAAAAGAGTCATATGGGTAAAGGTCAGTTATGGCATGGGGAGATATTTGCATAGGGGCAGGTACTGAACTCCGCATCATTAAGATTAGGTCACTACCAGCGGCACGATATGTAACTGAGATTTGGGAAGAAATCGTAGAGCTATTTGCCACTTATAGGAGATATATTTGTTTTTATTCATGATAATGCACGCCCCCGTACTTCAGGCGTAGTTGTAGAATACATTCGAGACGTTGAAATCAATGGGGTGGCCAGTGCGCTTGTCCGGTTTAAACCCCATATAGCATGTATGGAATTAACTTTGAAAACAAATTAAGAAAATAAATTCTGTCTACGATAATTTGAGAGATCTTACAGGGAGAATGGAACGCAATTTCTCAAGATTTTATTGATAACGTGATTAGAAGTATGCTAAGGACAATGGAAGCAGTTCGAGGAGAGAGGGCAACACTAAGTACTGAGTATAGTCTTCCTAAGTATTTATGAAAAAATGAATAAAATGTTGAGACAAAGAGCCCGTGTAGTGGCGGGAAAGAATATTCACTACCCCATAGCTTCCCGAGGGTGTCGTAAGAGGCGACAGAGGGAAACTGAGGCAGAAAATGGGCAGCAGCATCTTTCAAATAATCATCATCATCATCACCATTACAGCCCTTCACAAGTCCGTTGCTGAACATAGGCCTCCCCCAAGGAATGCCACAAAGCACGGTCCTGAGCCACCTGCATCCATCTACTTCCTGCATGTCTTACCAGGTCGTCACTCCATCTAGTAGGGGGGACGCCCAACACTTCGCCTGCCGGTACGAAGCTGCCACTCGAGAACCTTTCTTCCCCATCAGTTGTCGGTTCTTCGAGCTATATGGCCGGCCCATTGCCACTTCAGCTTACTAATCCGTTGCGCTATGTCGGTTACTCTGGTTCTACTGCGGATATCCTCATTCCTAAGTTTATCACGCAGAGAAACTCCGAGCATAGCCCTCTCCATAGCTCGCTGAGCGACCTTGAGCTTCCTCATCCGACCAGCAGTGAAGGACCACGTCTCAGTTCCGTATGTCATCACTGGCAACACGCACTGGTTGCACAGTCTCGTTTTCAAGTTTTGAGGTATACCTGACGAGAAGATGTGCCGTAATTTCCCGAACGCCACCCAACCGAGTTGAATCCGTCGATTGACCGCTCGGTCGAAGTTGGACTTACCTAGTCGGACTATTTGTCCCAGGTAAACATACTCGTCAACAACTTCGAGCTTAGTGCTCCTAACAACTACCGGCATAGGTGTGACATGGACATTAAACATGATCTTTGTTTTGTCCATGTTCATCTTAAGACCTATCCGTTGGGAAGCACTATTGACGTCATTGAGCATACTGCTTAGGTCCTCCAGCGATTCTGCCATAAGGAATATATCGTCGGCAAATCGAAGGTGAGTGATGTACTCGCCATTGATGTTGATACCGTATGCTTTCCAGTCCAGAAGCTTCAAAACGTCTTCCAATGCAGCGGTGAAGAGTTTCGGGGACATAACGTAACCCTGTCTTACACCTCTCTGCAGTTGGATAGGTTTCGTACACTGATAGCCATCGTAGCCCTACTGTACAAGCACTTCTTTACTTCGATATACCGACAGTCAACTTGGCACCGCTGAAGGGACTGCAGCACCGCCCAAATTTCGACGGAATCAAAGGCTTTCTCGTAGTCCACATACGCCAGACATAGTGGCAAATTGTACTCCTCTGACTTTTGTACAATTTGCCGAAGGATATGTATGTGGTGTATGGTGCTAAAGCCATTTCGGAAACCGGCTTGTTCGGGAGGCTGGAAGTCGTCAAGTATGCGCGCGAGATGTTTCGTAATGACTCCCAAAAACAGCACGTAGACGTGGCTCAGAAGGGAAATTGGTCTGTAGTTCTTTTAGTTTCTGTATTTAACGGTGGTAGAGCCTTGCAGCAGCTTTTGCTGTTGCACGTATGGGCCGGCTCGAGCCGGGTTAGTACCACGACCTCACAGAATACCGGCGTGAAGTGAAGCTTCCGCGTTTCGTCTGGTGAGTGCAGGTGACCGGATGCCCAATTCCCCCCCCCCCCCCCCATCAACATGGTAGCGGAATTACGTCATAAACTACCCCAGGAGGGTACCAGTACCCCTGGAGAATCCCTCGCTGAGCATCCACGACCATGCTATTCCACTCCTGAGCGTGGGTGCTCAGGCTGCCCCGCGTATTCTGGGGGGGGGGGCAAAATTCCGCTCAACACAATAACTGCTCGGGGCAAACTGAGCAACAAGACCAAGGCGACCCCTGCCACGCTATCCGTGAATTTCTGCAACATCAGGGGACTTCACTCGAACCTAAACGCCGTCCACTACCATCTTGAGACGGCGAAGCCGGCCTTGCTCTTTCTGACCGAGACGCAGGTGTCCTCTCCGGCTGATACTTCGTATCTCTCCTACCCGGGGTACAAATTGGAGCACTCCTTTGTGCCTCGGGCTGGAGTTTGCGTGTATGTCAGAGAGGACATCTGTTCTCGACGCCTCGGCAGTCTTGAAGGTTCGGACCTGTCCATCCTTTGGCTACGCGTAGACAGCGACGACCATCCGCGCGTCTACGTGTGCCTCTATAGGTCCCATAGCGGTAATGCCGAAACAGATCGACTCATTGACCACGTCCAAATGGCTACAGATTCCTTGCTACAACAGGTCCCATCCGCAGAGATCGTGATCCTTGGCGATTTTAACGCCCACCACGCCGAATGGCTCGGTTCACGTTTAACCGATCATGCGGGGAGATCTGTTTATGACTTTGCCTTGGCATATGGTCTGACACAACTGGTTACATCGCCTACGCGGATTCCAGATGTTGAGGATCATACACCTTCCCTGTTGGACCTTCTGCTGACCTCTCATCCGGACGGATATCAGGTTTCCGTCGATGCCCCTCTTGGCTCTTCGGACCATTGTCTGATCCGGAGTGTGGTGCCACTCACGCTCCCCTCGCGGTTGCGTTCTGCAGGTTGCCGCCGTGTTTGGCATTACAGGTCGGCGGATTGGGACGGAATGCGGTCTTTCTTTGCTTCCTACCCATGGGGGCGGGTTTGCTTCTCGCCGGATGATCCCAGCGCTGTTGCTGACTCTGTCACTGATGTAGTGCTACAGGGAATGGAACTATTTATTCCATCATCTGTGGTACCCATCGGAGGCAGATCTCAGCCTTGGTTTGGTCGCTCCTGTAAGACTGCATTACGCAGTAAGCAGGAGTGTTATCAAGCCTGGGCTGCGGCTTCGGTGACTCGGGATGTAAACACCAGCACACTCAAAAAGAAGTATAACTTCGCCTCCAGGTCCTTCAAAAGAGTTATTGCCAAGGCAAAGTCAGAGCACATAGGCAGAATTGGCGAGAAACTAGTTCGCCTTCCTTCGGGAACCCGTGCATTCTGGTCTCTCGCCAAGGCTGTCCAAGGGAATTTCTGTAAGCCATCACTACCATCTCTGCACAGGGAGGACGACTCACTGGCCCACGACGCAAAAGAGAAGGCCGACCTTTTAGGCTCCCTTTTTGCGTCCAACTCGACTGTTGATGACGGGGGGAACACACCGCCGACCATCCCGCGGTGTGAGTGCTCCATGCCGGATGTGCGATTCTCACAGCGCTCGGTTCGCAGAGCACTCCTCTCCCTTGACATCCACAAGTCGAGTGGGCCTGACGGAATCCCCCCAATTGTGCTGAGGATGTGTGCTCCGGAGTTGGCACCGGTTCTAACGCGTCTTTTCCGGTACTCCTACTCCCTAGGCGTAGTCCCGAAATCATGGAAGACAGCTTTTGTCCACCCGATCCCTAAAAAAGGCGACCGCTCAGATCCGTCCAACTACAGGCCTATCGCCATCACCCCCTTGTTCTCCAAAATAATGGAATCCGTTGTAAACTGCCACCTCATGCGGTACCTTGAGGATCACCAGCTGATTAGTGACCGCCAGTACGGTTTTCGTCGGGGTCGATCAGCTGGTGATCTTCTGGTCTACTTAACTCATAGATGGGCGTTGGCAGTAGAGTCCAAGGGGGAGGCATTGGCCGTTAGTTTGGACATTGCGAAGGCCTTCGATCGGGTTTGGCACAAAGCGCTTCTTTCGAAGCTCCCTTCCTATGGGCTTCCCGAGAAATTATGCAATTGGATCACCAGCTTTCTTGCAGATCGGAGCATCAAGGTCGTTGTAGACGGTGCATGCTCCGACTACAAGCCTATTAACGCTGGTGTTCCACAAGGCTGCGTGCTATCACCAACGCTGTTTCTTCTGCATATCAATGATATGTTGCAAGCTGGTAGCATTCATTGCTATGCAGATGACAGCACTGGTGATGCTCTATACACCGGCCGTGCCAATATTTCTCGGGAAAACGTCACCGAGTACCGGAACAAACTTGTGTCTGAAGTCGAGTCTTTGCTGGACAAAGTCTCGGATTGGGGGCGACTAAATCTAGTCCAATTTAATCCTCAGAAGACACAAGTTTGCGCGTTTACCGCTAAAAAGAACCCCTTTGTCGTATCTCCTCAGTTTCAAGGTACTCCCCTTGTTGCCTCAGCCAGTATCGGAATCCTCGGCGTCGACATATCGAGTAGCGTGCAGTTTCGTGGTCACTTGGAAGAGAAGGCCAAATTGGCCTCTAAAAAGCTTGGCGTGCTCAGCAGAGCGGGACAGTATTTCATGCCGGCTCAACGCCTGCAACTTTACAAGGCGCAGGTTCGGCCTCACATGGAATACTGTTCCCATCTCTGGGCTGGGGCTCCCCAGTGCCAGCTTCTTCCACTTGACCGCATCCAGCGCAGAGCGGCTCGAATCGTCGACGACCGAGTCCTTTCCGATCGGCTCGACTCATTGGCACTGCGAAGAGATGTTGCATCTCTTAGCATTTTCTTTCGCATTTACCATGGGGAGTGCTCTGAGGAATTGTTCGGATTAATCCCAGCCGCCAAATTTCACGAACGCACATCGCGGCAGAACTCCCGATACCATCCACACCATCTGGATGATTGGCGGTCCACCACTGTGCGATTTAGAAGATGTTTTCTTCCTCGCACAACTTCCTTGTGGAATAGTTTACCACCAGCGATTTTTCCGGACCGATACGACTTAGGGACCTTCAAGAAAAGAGCCTACTCCTTTTTAAAAGGCCGGCAACGCATCTGCAATTCCCCTGGTGTTGCGGTTGTTCATGGGCGGCGGTAGTCACTTACCATCAGGTGAGCCGCATGCTCGTTTGCCCCCTCTCCTATAAAAAAAAAAAAAAGTTCTTCAAGAGAGCGTTGTCGCCTTTCTTGAAGAACAAGACCACCGCACTTCTGCTCCACGCCTCCGGTCTAATACCACCATGGAGGACGGAATTAAACAGCTTCTGAAGGACTTCAAGTACCGGTTTTCCACCCGCTTTCAGAAGCTCCGCTGTAATTCCATCCTCGCCTGGCGCCTTGCCGTTTTTAAGGTGCTGGTCTACGCACGTGTGAGTAACGATTCAAGAGCGAGTCTTATCAGACATTATTCCGATGATATCCCGGACGTCAGTCTGAGCGAGATTAGAATGGCTCTCTAGCACATTAAAAACGGCAAGACCCCAGGCGAGAATGGAATTACAGCGGAGCTTTTTAAAGCGGGTGGAAAACGGGTACTTGAGGTCCTTCAGAAGCTCTTTAATTCCGTCCTCCATGGTGGCACTACTCCGGAGGCGTGGAGCACAAGTGCGGTGGTCTTGTTCTTCAAGAAAGGCGACAACGCTCTCTTGAAGAACTACAGACCAATTTTCCTTCTGAGCCGCGTCTACGTGCTGTTTTTGAGAGTCATTACGAATCGTCTCGCGCGCAGATTTGACGACTTCCAGCCTCCCGAACAAGCCGGTTTCCGAAAGGTCTTTAGTACCATAGACCACATACACACCCTTCGGCAAATTGTACAGAAGAGGATAATCTGCCACTTTGCCTTGCGTATGTCGACTATGAGAAAGCCTTTGATTCCGTCGAAATTTGAGCAGTGCTGTAATCCCTTCAGCGGTGCCAAGTTGACTGTCGGTATATCGAAGTAAAGAAGTGCTTGTACAGTAAGGCTACGATGGCTATCAGTGTACGAAACCTATCCAACTGCAGAGAGGTGTAAGACAGGGTTACGTTATGTCCCCGGAACTCTTCACCGTTGCATTGGAAGACGTTTTCAAGCTACTGGACTGGAAAGAATGCGGTATTAACATCAATGGCGAGAACATCACTCACCTTCGATTTGCTGACGATATAGTCCTTATGGCAGAATCGCCATAAGGACGGTCTTAAGACATGGACAAAACAAAGATCATGTTTAATGTCGATGTCACAACTATGCCGGTAGTTGTTGGGAGCACTAAGCTCGAAGTTGTTGACGAGTATGTTTACCTAGGACAAATAGTCCGACTAGGTAAGTACAAATTCGACCGAGCGGTCAATCGACGGATTCAACTCGGCTGGCCGTTCGGGAAACTACGACACATCTTCTAGTCAGGTATACCTCGAAACCTGAAAACGAAATTGTACAACCAGTGCATGTTGCCAGTGATGACTTATGGATCTGAGACGTGGTCCTTCACTGCTGGTCGTATGAGGAAGCTCAAGGTCGCTCAGCGAGCTATGGAGAGGGCTATGCTCGGAGTTTCTCTGCGTGATAAACTTAGGAATGAGGATATCCGCAGTAGAACCAGAGTAACCGACATAGCCCAACGGATTAGTAAGCTGAAGTGGCAGTGGGCCGGCCATATAGCTCGAAGAACCGACAACCGATGGGGAAGAAAGGTTCTCGAGTGGCAGCCTCGTACCGGTAGGTGAAGTGTAGGGCGTCCCCCCACGAGATGGAGTGACGACCTGGTAAGACATGCAGGAAGTCGATGGATGCAGGTGGCTCAGGACCGTGCTTTGTGGCATTCCTTGGGGGAGGCCTATGTTCAGCAGTGGACTTATGAAGGGCTGTAATGATGATGATGATGATAGGTATAAAAATGCAGATGCGTTGTTACCAGGACTAAGGTCTTTGAGGACTAAGATGGAATGTCTCGTTTCTAGTAAATAAGGGTCGCCGGTTATCAACGCCCACCATAAGAAACATAGCTATTTTATGACGGTATTCTATGAGAGACTGATAATACCCCGGTCGAGTCGACCCATTCGTGTTACACCCATGATATAGCTGCAGTGTGGTTCTACCACGTATAAATCATGTTAAATTTGCTTTCCGTTGAGCTAGAGACTTGAAATTTTAAATATAGCTCAGAATTGGATGATAATTTAACATGTGGCTTTGTATTGGCAAAATTGACCGTGTAGTGGCGGTCTAAAAATGTCCACTACTATATATCATCCCTTCAGTGTCGTAAGGGGCGACAGACGGAAACAAATCAGGAGATGGGCGGCGGCGTCTTCGTAATAACGACTAAAAATATAAAAAACTGCAAATGCCAACCCGTTTGTCGAGCGTAGCAACTATGACAAATATTCATCTACCAATTTATGGGGAAGGCTTATGTCAGAAGTAGACTTTAATAGGCTGTAACGGTAACGGTAACGGTAACGTTTGTATTGGCAAGGCATGTGCGCGATCCGTTCGTCGCCGCGCATCGTGCCGCGGGACGAGGCGGGCTTCTCGTACGAGGCGGCGCGCGGCGGTGCGGCCGGCGCCTGCGAGGCGCACGCGCGCGTGTCCGTGCACCGCGTGCCGCCGCCGCGCATGCGCGCGCTCCAGCACCTGCTCACGCACGCCGCCGCGCTCGACAGGTGCGACCCACTCACGCACACACACACACACTGAGCCGTACTCACGCACACACGCGCGCGTGTCCGTGCACCGCGTGCCGCCGCCGCGCATGCGCGCGCTCCAGCACCTGCTCACGCACGCCGCCGCGCTCGACAGGTGCGACCCACTCACGCACACACACACACACTGAGCCGTACTCACGCACACACGCGCGCGTGTCCGTGCACCGCGTGCCGCCGCCGCGCATGCGCGCGCTCCAGCACCTGCTCACGCACGCCGCCGCGCTCGACAGGTGCGACCCACTCACGCACACACACACACACTGAGCCGTACTCACGCACACACGCGCGCGTGTCCGTGCACCGCGTGCCGCCGCCGCGCATGCGCGCGCTCCAGCACCTGCTCACGCACGCCGCCGCGCTCGACAGGTGCGACCCACTCACGCACACACACACACACTGAGCCGTACTCACGCACACACGCGCGCGTGTCCGTGCACCGCGTGCCGCCGCCGCGCATGCGCGCGCTCCAGCACCTGCTCACGCACGCCGCCGCGCTCGACAGGTGCGACCCACTCACGCACACACACACACACTGAGCCGTACTCACGCACACACGCGCGCGTGTCCGTGCACCGCGTGCCGCCGCCGCGCATGCGCGCGCTCCAGCACCTGCTCACGCACGCCGCCGCGCTCGACAGGTGCGACCCACTCACGCACACACACACACACACTGAGCCGTACTCACGCACACACGCGCGCGTGTCCGTGCACCGCGTGCCGCCGCCGCGCATGCGCGCGCTCCAGCACCTGCTCACGCACGCCGCCGCGCTCGACAGGTGCGACCCACTCACGCACACACACACACACTGAGCCGTACTCACGCACACACGCGCGCGTGTCCGTGCACCGCGTGCCGCCGCCGCGCATGCGCGCGCTCCAGCACCTGCTCACGCACGCCGCCGCGCTCGACAGGTGCGACCCACTCACGCACACACACACACACTGAGCCGTACTCACGCACACACGCGCGCGTGTCCGTGCACCGCGTGCCGCCGTCGCGCATGCGCGCGCTCCAGCACCTGCTCACGCACGCCGCCGCGCTCGACAGGTGCGACCCACTCACGCACACACACACACACACTGAGCCGTACTCACGCACACACGCGCGCGTGTCCGTGCACCGCGTGCCGCCGCCGCGCATGCGCGCGCTCCAGCACCTGCTCACGCACGCCGCCGCGCTCGACAGGTGCGACCCACTCACGCACACACACACACACACTGAGCCGTACTCACGCACACACGCGCGCGTGTCCGTGCACCGCGTGCCGCCGCCGCGCATGCGCGCGCTCCAGCACCTGCTCACGCACGCCGCCGCGCTCGACAGGTGCGACCCACTCACGCACACACACACACACACTGAGCCGTACTCACGCACACACGCGCGCGTGTCCGTGCACCGCGTGCCGCCGCCGCGCATGCGCGCGCTCCAGCACCTGCTCACGCACGCCGCCGCGCTCGACAGGTGCGACCCACTCACGCACACACACACACACACTGAGCCGTACTCACGCACACACGCGCGCGTGTCCGTGCACCGCGTGCCGCCGCCGCGCATGCGCGCGCTCCAGCACCTGCTCACGCACGCCGCCGCGCTCGACAGGTGCGACCCACTCACGCACACACACACACTGAGCCGTACTCACGCACACACGCGCGCGTGTCCGTGCACCGCGTGCCGCCGCCGCGCATGCGCGCGCTCCAGCACCTGCTCACGCACGCCGCCGCGCTCGACAGGTGCGACCCACTCACGCACACACACACACACACTGAGCCGTACTCACGCACACACGCGCGCGTGTCCGTGCACCGCGTGCCGCCGCCGCGCATGCGCGCGCTCCAGCACCTGCTCACGCACGCCGCCGCGCTCGACAGGTGCGACCCACTCACGCACACACACACACACTGAGCCGTACTCACGCACACACGCGCGCGTGTCCGTGCACCGCGTGCCGCCGCCGCGCATGCGCGCGCTCCAGCACCTGCTCACGCACGCCGCCGCGCTCGACAGGTGCGACCCACTCACGCACACACACACACACACACTGAGCCGTACTCACGCACACACGCGCGCGTGTCCGTGCACCGCGTGCCGCCGCCGCGCATGCGCGCGCTCCAGCACCTGCTCACGCACGCCGCCGCGCTCGACAGGTGCGACCCACTCACGCACACACACACACTGAGCCGTACTCACGCACACACGCGCGCGTGTCCGTGCACCGCGTGCCGCCGCCGCGCATGCGCGCGCTCCAGCACCTGCTCACGCACGCCGCCGCGCTCGACAGGTGCGACCCACTCACGCACACACACACACACACACACTGAGCCGTACTCACGCACACACGCGCGCGTGTCCGTGCACCGCGTGCCGCCGCCGCGCATGCGCGTGCTCCAGCACCTGCTCACGCACGCCGCCGCGCTCGGCAGGTGCGACCCACTCACGCACACACACACACACACTGAGCCGTACTCACGCACACACGCGCGCGTGTCCGTGCACCGCGTGCCGCCGCCGCGCATGCGCGCGCTCCAGCACCTGCTCACGCACGCCGCCGCGCTCGACAGGTGCGACCCACTCACGCACACACACACACACACTGAGCCGTACTCACGCACACACGCGCGCGTGTCCGTGCACCGCGTGCCGCCGCCGCGCATGCGCGCGCTCCAGCACCTGCTCACGCACGCCGCCGCGCTCGACAGGTGCGACCCACTCACGCACACACACACACACACTGAGCCGTACTCACGCACACACGCTCGCGTGTCCGTGCACCGCGTGCCGCCGCCGCGCATGCGCGCGCTCCAGCACCTGCTCACGCACGCCGCCGCGCTCGACAGGTGCGACCCACTCACGCACACACACACACACACTGAGCCGTACTCACGCACACACGCGCGCGTGTCCGTGCACCGCGTGCCGCCGCCGCGCATGCGCGCGCTCCAGCACCTGCTCACGCACGCCGCCGCGCTCGACAGGTGCGACCCACTCACGCACACACACACACACTGAGCCGTACTCACGCACACACGCGCGCGTGTCCGTGCACCGCGTGCCGCCGCCGCGCATGCGCGCGCTCCAGCACCTGCTCACGCACGCCGCCGCGCTCGACAGGTGCGACCCACTCACGCACACACACACACACACACTGAGCCGTACTCACGCACACACGCGCGCGTGTCCGTGCACCGCGTGCCGCCGCCGCGCATGCGCGCGCTCCAGCACCTGCTCACGCACGCCGCCGCGCTCGACAGGTGCGACCCACTCACGCACACACACACACACTGAGCCGTACTCACGCACACACGCGCGCGTGTCCGTGCACCGCGTGCCGCCGCCGCGCATGCGCGCGCTCCAGCACCTGCTCACGCACGCCGCCGCGCTCGACAGGTGCGACCCACTCACGCACACACACACACACTGAGCCGTACTCACGCACACACGCGCGCGTGTCCGTGCACCGCGTGCCGCCGCCGCGCATGCGCGCGCTCCAGCACCTGCTCACGCACGCCGCCGCGCTCGACAGGTGCGACCCACTCACGCACACACACACACACACTGAGCCGTACTCACGCACACACGCGCGCGTGTCCGTGCACCGCGTGCCGCCGCCGCGCATGCGCGCGCTCCAGCACCTGCTCACGCACGCCGCCGCGCTCGACAGGTGCGACCCACTCACGCACACACACACACACTGAGCCGTACTCACGCACGCACGCGCGCAGAGAGAGAAAGAGAGAGAGAGAGAGAGAGAGAGCGACAGACACACGCGCGCATACACACACACAAATTGAAGTGGCTGCAGTTGTTCATGGACTGCAGTGGCCTCTAGGTGGAATGAAAGTTCATATGTCACTTAAGTTTTATAAAACAATTTTTTTTTAATCGTTATATAGACTAACTTAAATTTTGATATTGTGAAATTTGATCTTAAACTCTATAATGTTTCTGAATACCGGCAATAGAACTCTTTCAAGCCTTGTCTATTCTCAATATCCATTTATCTTTTCCTCTTCCTTGTTGCGATTTGCGACCAATTTTTTTTACATTACCATTTCCATACGACATGAAGAGTCGAAGAATGTAGGAGTTGGCAAGCATTTTTTTTTTAGGTTAAGGGTAACAAACGAGCACACAGTCCACCTGATGGTAAGTGGTTGCTGTGACCCATAGACATCTACATCTATCCTCGATTACGAATCAAAATGCAGATGCGTTGTCACCCATAAGGACTAAGATGGAATGCTTCGTTTCTAGTAAAAAGTGTCTCCGTTACACAACGTTTTATTAGCTTTATTCATGCTCCATCATGTTAGTACAGCTAAATGAAACGAAAATTTCATTAAAAAAAAAAACATGAAAATACTTAAACATTAAACGTTGGGGAAAAAGTTTCTTCGCATTTTATATACAAATTCAAAACTATTTTTTCAAAGTTTAATTATAATTATACATATATATATTATATTTAAATTACATTTAATTATTATATATATATGTGCCATTTTGTTCGACAACTTGTTGCCATCTTGTAGATAGTGAATGAATCACGTTGTTGCATAGATCTTGGGATTTTTGATTAAAAAATGCGACAAGTAGTTTTGACAGTCCTCTCTTGATGTTAACCTAACACTCCCAAAGAATTCTGAAGAGACCGAAACAGGTGAAAATCTGAGTGCAAGCTCAGCACTATAGGGTTCATTTACACTTCCCAACCAAGCTCTGTCAATTTTTGCAGAGTGGCCAAATATGTCTGTGGTCAGGCGTTATCATGATGAAAGACCACTCCTTTTTGTTTTTCCTTTTCTGTTTATCAATTTCGGGTATTTTTTTCTCAATTTCTTGCTTGAGTCTTATTAGTTGTTGGCAGTAGAGATCCGAATCCATGGTTTTGCCCCGCAGTAAAAGCTTATAATAAACGATGTCATTTCAATCCCACCATACACACAGCATCACCTTATTGTGTGTTAATCCGGGTTTCGCTATCTTTATCGCACGTTCTTGTCGAAGGTGATCTACTTCTGATATTAAAACCAGCCAGATACAACAGTACAACCAAAGAGATTTTTCTTCAAGTTTATACAAAATAATACGAAGAAACTTTTTCCCCGACCGACGATGTTAGCGAGAGGAGCATACGTGTTACAAAAATCGACCAAATTTTAAAAAGTACAATATCATCTTTGGCAATGGCCAATAAAAGTATTTAAACTCTATTCTTTATATTACAGATGCGAAAGGAAACACCTGATGCAGGTAAGAAACCATCGTTTACGTAAGAAAATACCTCCGACCGCTTCGGGAACAAAAATTAGGGCGTGCCTAAACGAAATGAGTAGTTCATTAGTTATTGGCTTGGTCATATTTATACTTACGTCATAATGTAATGTTTATATAAGAAATACTACTATTCAAAACTATATTCAAGATCTGGCTGTGACCTAAGTTATTGCTTAACGTATAAAAATCTTAATATGTATTTAAGTTAACCCTATTCACTATATGTTTATTATGTTTTCTAACTGCAACGTGTCTGGGAGGTACTAGAAGGGTTTATGTTCGAATAGTGAAAAGTTATATCAATATGGGTCCAATGTAGCAATCGTGTGTAGTGTTATGATATTTAGAAAACTGACATTCAAAAAAATGCTTTAGGTGAAACAGGCATCATCACCAACACCGAGTGGTGCGGTGCCAATAAATGCGAAGCGTAATCGTCGCTTGTATCGGACGGCCCCAAGGTGCAAATAAGTCCTGAAGTCGTATCACTGAGCGAAACTTTGAGACTGAAGCACGAAGTCGCGACGATGCAATCTCTAACGCCGCTGAAAAACAGAAGTGTTAAAAGAGCCACGTATATAATTAGCGAAGCTGCTTCGGAAGTACTTCGGGTGTTACTACGGTGCTGCGTGTGCGAAGCGGCTTCGCAACATTTTGAAGCGGTGTATTTGTGCCAATAAAACGAATAAAAGATCACACACTATCATAATCATGACAACGTATCACCAAATGTAGTAATCTCATTATATAATAAGGTAGATTGAAACCTTTTGCTAGTTTGTAGAAGAGGTTTCTTTTAAAAAAAATCCTTCGGGGTACCTCCCGGAGATATTGCATAGATACTTAACGAATCTCACAAATAAAAATCTTATGATAAATTAAAAATGTATAAGAATTAGCGATTTTTTAACCTACGAGTAGTCCAAGTCATTAATCTAGATAACCGAGTTTCTTTATCAACTTATTTGAATGTGTATTTATTGTTCAAGAACTCCTTTTCCATTCTAAATGGTGTTTATATATTGTACAAATTACTGTAAGCTAGGTATTAATGATTCAGAGATTTTATGGAGGGTGAAATCTTAAAGAAACCTGTGAGGTTGCAAGCTGTTGTGATAGAAATCCTGCCATGGAAAAAGTGGAATATTGAATACGGTTATTTCTGTCTAAATATATACGTGCTGTGCTGTACAGGTCCTACCTAATTTATAGAGTGGCAAATAGACAAGAAACTATCAAATGTCAAAATGAGTAAGCCTTTATAACAAAATTAAGTACATTTTTTTTTAATTTTATATAACACTGTCAAAACTTTATCTGCACGCTTTTGCTATATTACATTTATTTTTCGAGCACTATTCATAAAATACCATAATCATCACATATCATTTGCTAAAATCGTATTCATTAAAATTCGCCAAAACATGTAAACATCATGTATAGTAGCAGTGTATATTTTGACAGTAAACAAACGCCTAGGTAGAACTAGATAGGTTATGAAAGGGGTGCCTTTTGAAGAGTAATTATTGTTAAGGGTAGAAATGCGTCAACTTATTTGCTGAAACAATTTCACTATATTAACAAATATTAACAAGAGTAACTGTTGGCTTCTCTTGGAATAAAAATTGTAACACTTGTCAAAATAAAAAATAAAAAAAACATTTAAAAAGTACATACTAAAAATGTAATAAAAATATTATTTTTAATGAAACTTTATCAATATATAAGCCCGCGCCACGAACAGAGGGAATTTCATACATTGATTTTAGTTCAGTTATAATCTTAAAATATTTCTTATTTAAGTAATCTATTCTGACATTTTGTAATTTATGTTATTATCTCTTTTATATTTTACTCTCCTTATGAAGCGTGTTGCGGCTGACTTAATTTAGGTTTTACTTCAACTCTTAAAGAATTGATATCGATTTATCTTAAAAATCGAACACTTGTACTGTACGTACCGATTGTTTGGTTGGCATTCCTAGTACAATAAGTCTGACAGCTGCCAAAAGGTATTTCTTAGATTTGATTGAGCATAATTGAACCTACTGTTTTTTCGATTTTATCATCTAGTTTCCTATAACCGTATCCTTCCGCTTAGGACCTGTATAGCGAAAAGCGGTAGCAAAGACTTGCACATCATTTCAGTATGGCGTGTGACAGTTGCGATTATTAGGTATCATCATCATTACAGCCTTTCACAAGTCTAGCTTCTGAACATAGGCTTCCCCCAAGGAATGTCACAAAGCACAGTTCTGAGCCACCCGCATCTATCGACTTCCTGCATGTCTTACCAGATCGTCACTCAATCTAATGGGGGTCGCCCTACACTTCGCCTGCCGGTACGAGGCTGCCACTCGAGAACCTTTTTTCCCCATCGGTTGTCGGTTCTTCGAGCTATATTTTTTTTATAGGATAAGGGTGACAAACGAGCACACAGTCCACCTGATAGTAAGTGGTAGCTGCGGCCCATAGACATCTACATCTATCCTCTATTACAAATCAAAATGCAGATGCGTTGTCACCCGTGAGGACTAAGATGGAATGCCTCATTTGCAGTAAAAAGGGCCTCCGGCCACCTGCACTCACCAAGCGAAACGCAGAGGTAAACCTCTACTTCACGCTGGTTCACGCTGATTCTGTGAGGTCGTGGTACCACCCCGGTTCGAGCCGGCCCATCCGTGCGACAGCAAAAGCCGCCACGTGGCTCTACCACTGTTGAAATATGATATTATAATATGACGGGTCCATTGCCACTTCAGCTTACTAATCCGTTGAGCTATGTCGGTCACTCTGGTTCTACTGCGGATATCCTAATTTTTAAGGTTATCACACAAAAAACCTCGAGCATAGCCCTCTCCATAGCTCGCTGAGCTACCTTGAGCGCCGTCATACGGCAAACAGTGAAGGACTACGCATCACTTACGCGATTATTATCGTTTACGTTTATAATACAGTTAAGTTAACGAACGAAATCCCTTTTGTTCGTGGCACGCGCTTTAGATAATATTGCACAACGACATCACAAACATTAATATAGCTTTTTAACAATCTCTATAAACCAAAATTTCAGCGAATAAGTTATGCTAATAATTTTTGTAACTATTTTGATTTATTTTCTGTTTATTTGTGTATGTATTTTGCATCGTGTTAGATCACTATCTCAAATCATTAGTGAATTGATTTCGTTCAAATTAGTTTTAGTTTATTATGATTTTTTTCATTCCCAGATGAATAAACGCCAGAGCAGACTGTTTGTTCTATACAAGTACCTGTGTTTGCTCGTCACCAATTCTTGTTGAGGACCAACGATCCAATACCGCGTCAACTAACTCGCCAAACCAATTGATTAACAAATTTTTTTAATTGAAAGCACCGTGATCGTTATAACTTCTATCTGCCTCAAAATTAGTCACCATTGATATTTGTTATTTTCAACGTAAAGTAAACATAAGTTACTCATATAGTTTCGTAGAACATATAGATATAATTTTGTACATAGTAGAGTAGCTGAAAGCAATCTCATTTTATTTTCTTACATCTTAATCTTGCTCAATCCCAATGTTGGCCTAATATGATTGAACACCTACTATAAAATCGCTCATCATACTAAGGCTACATAATTAGTGTTTAAGTATATTTGATGTGGAACCGCTTATTCGTAAATCCTATACAGCCGTTAAAATTAGCAACAATTTATAGAACGTCAGAGTACAAGAATTACGCGAAAAATTATGTGTCAATTTCTTTACTAAACTTTTTCACTGACGTAAAACTCACGACAGTGTGATATTGTCAACATTAGAAAACAGGCAAAGCCATCAGCTGAAATTAAACTTTGGTCTTCCAGCAAACTGTTAAAATTTACATATAATATATATGGTAAAATGTTTAATATAGACCAATTTATAAATTTAAATATGAAACAGTAACAACTTTCACGTTGTCTCGGCCCTTCGTTTTTTACCTCTACAGATTTGAAGTTTGCTAACGTAAATTAGACAAATTTTTTATAACAAAATAAAAAACTTTGTAAAACTGCGCCACTTTAGTAACAATTCATCAAGTGTTAGGATAAAAAAAAACCTGTTAAAGTACTTGCAAAATTGTGCAATATTAAAAAGAATAATGCATGATGAACTTCGGATAGTTTATGAATTTTACCTGTTTAATATATTGAAAATGTATAAATTTACTTTGAAATACGACAATCATTGATTGTAATAAAGAGTATATTTATTAGTTTTATAACCACTTTATTATGTTAAAGATATCGTGCAATGATTTTTAAATCAATTTCATCTTTAAAATATTTTCGAATTCATTATTTTTGAAAATTGTTGTTGTTTTTATCCTTTTTATTGAAAAGTATAAATTTTATTTTGTAAAAATCGTGAGCTGCAATCAAATATAAAATTTAAAAGATCGGCATGCGAACAAATTTCTTAAATCGTTTATATAAATCTTTGTTTCTTTATTAGCCGCCTATTTTTATACATATTTTTATTTTTACTCTTGTTTATGTGGATCTCCGTAATAATTAATAATTATTGATCAATAATTTTACTAATTGAACAACTCAGGTGTGCCTTGCGAGTAATTCATTTGTTGCATGTAACTTCTAACAACTAATGCTAACGTTACATACGACTGCATTCTATGAAATGTGAATATGAAATATACCTAGATTTGCATGCGAACAAATTTCTTAAATCATATAAATCTTTTTTTCTTTATAAGTCCCCTAATTTTATACCTACTTTTATTTTTACTCGTGTTTTTGTGAATCTCTTTAATATAATAAATAAAAATTAATTTTTGTATGTTCGTATTTTTGCTCTGCCATACCGGTCATCAGATTGCGCTAAAACTTTGTCAATATTATTTAATATTGCTTGCACTTGTGAGAAGGTTATAGGCAAAGTACAATTAAATTACAATAGGTGGCGCGAGAATCGTACCGATCTATTATCATTCCTAATTAAACAATATAACTCTTCCAAATTTAAAACGATGTTTCCACAATTGTTTCTTCTGCAGCAACGCGCCGTGTAATAGCTAGTAATTAATAATTATTGATCTATAATTTTAATAATTGAACAAATTAAGGCACATGCATTCAAATAATTTATTTTTCTGCATGGAACTTCTAAGTACTAATGTATACTATCATTCATTCTATTAAAATTAATTTTAAAGCAAAAGGAATATAAAGGTATAATTATATATAGATAAACATATACATAATCTCTCACGCCTGTTATCCCAGACGGCACTTTTTAATAAACTTCATTTTTTCTAAATCTATTCGACAGGCGTTGTTATTGTCATGTTGGTTATACTAGGTCAAGATTGTGCGAGGATTTTTAAACAATATTTAAGCTAGTAATATGCTAGTATAGTCACCACTTTATTACTTTTTTACAACGACTTCTATGTTTACCGCTAGAGCGGCAATTCAGAACAAAAACTATGGCACAGTTTAGGGATGGGCAAGGAAAAAAAATATATCGATATATATCGAATCTATATTTTTAAACAGTACCGTTATATATCGCGTGATGAATATCGATATATCGTCATCATTTGCATGATATAAAGATAAGGTCCAAATTTTTATTTACTGGCGGTTGGACGACGAAAAAGCGATACAATATTTTAAAATATATCGAAATTGATACGGATTCGATACTCTTAACTAAATATCGATAAATCCCGATATAAAATATCGACGATATATATCGATTTATTATTCGATATTTCGATATATCGATATTTTTTGCGTAAGCCTACCACAGTTATGGATCACGCGGGCGCGTGCGCGTGCGCGTGCGGGTAGTACGCACGATAAATACGCAGTTGTATTTTCATCTACGACAGTTACTGTTTTTAAGCAAATTCGAAATAAAATTACATACTTATCTGAAATAAACTTTAAATCACGTTGCAAAGTGCGCACATAAACAATGACAGCGTTTTCTTAATCACGTTAAAACAAAATCAGTGTTAGACTGTCGAAACCATCGTTCTCGGTTTACAGAATAAAGAAGTAGTCTTTTCGCCGGCTCGCATTCGTCTAAAAGACTTGCGGAGAATTGACCGTAACTTTTAAGCAATTATTAAGCCCAGAAAACCCGTCTAATATACATAGAAGCATTTGCTTTTTGAAACTGTTATTTTCTATTATTATCTAAAACTTAATCCTTTTGCTGGAGCCACAGTAACGGGAAAGGTCAATGCCCATAAACGCAACAATTATTGCTTTAATTTTAATGCGATAAAGTGAGTGGCTACACTTGAACGGTCATCGTCATTTCAATTTCAATGCCATTGAACGGCGTTAAATTTGGCTTTAATGTTCCTTGAATATCCTTCTTCTTTTTAATTTCTTCGATAGTTGTTTTAAAAGGTAATAATTGCGTAATTCGTCGCCAAGCATCATTTTGCGATATACGATTCTTAAAACTTTTGAGTCTCGGATCCCACAAACATGGCTCTGTTTCAAAACAACCTCAAGAAACCTAATAACTTTTTCATTATTCCACTCCATCATAGCCATACGTGCGACCCTTGCACAATGAGACAAACGTAGTGTGGCCGCTTCAACGCGTTATTTCGTGCGTTGATAGTGCTCTTTGATGTGCCGCCACTCGAGTTATCGCCAAACGGCAAACGGCATTGTTAATGCCATTGTCAAATTAATGTATACACCTACATTCAACGTCTATCAACGCGATAATTACGGCATTTCTCGTTAGTGTGGCCGCAAAATTACAATTTTTCATTAAACAGTATTTTTTAAGACTTTAACGAATACCAATTTGTGATTTTTTGAAAAAGACGATATGCCATATATATTGCTATTTTATGTTATTTTGTATTAATTTTACTCGTGTTGTGTGTTTATTTATGTTTATTTAATGTAATTTTGTGTAAAATGGAAATGAAAGATCAAATGGCTTTAAAATTTGTTAACATTACTACAATAAATACTCATGTTGAAAATTTATTTTAAATGCAAACTGATTGGCGAATCAAAAGATAGATAGGCATCTACTAGACTTGCATAAAGATGTTATAATGGTTCAACTTAAAACATACAGAATCATTATTAACCATATAGACATAATATGAGAGGCGCAAGTTTATTTTATAGCGAATAGATGTCCGATATAAATTTATAGTGTCATTCACATTTCTAATTTAGTATTAATAAAGCTTGATGCATCTCCATACCAATCAAAATTATTTGAATAAGTACTTTTTATCAGACAATTTGTCGATCATATGTAACTTACTGCTTAGGAGTTGCAGCCTTCTTTGTTTGAATTAGGCTGTAATTGACTGCAATAGCTGACCGTCAAGTAATCATAAAAAATCATATCAAATTACAAATATGTCTCGAGTAAAGATGAAGCTTATGTGTGAATCTCTGTAGTTGTCTAGAAATAGATTGGGACTATGGATAAAATCATAGACAATTTTTTTTTCTCTCAAAATTTAATGTTCTTTTATCTTTCAATGTACTTTGTCCATTTATTTGCTAGAATTGGTTAAGTGATTGTTTACTTCGCTGCTCAAATTTTGGAATGAATAAAAAAACGATATATTTATTTAATGGCTTACTTAATATAATTGAATTGGAGCTAAATATTTTTTTAAATGTTAAAATTTTATTGTATAGTATTCTGAATTTGTTGAAAAAAAACCATTGTAATTGTGATGAAAATATTATAAAATGTAGTTATATTGTAAATAGTTGACCATCGATTAAGTGCCTCGTTTTAGAGCGAAAGTTTTTAGGTTGGAATCTCAAACGTTGTTTCATTGTTAACGTATGATTGACGCTAGTTATACTTTAAATTTTATTGATTATTGCCTGCTTTGGTTAAAAATGAACTTGATATACCTGATAGACACTAAAAACTGCTTTTCGAATGGTCTTAATTACAATTGGATCGAGTTAATTTCGCACTTCGCTGAAATGCGCTGCCCCTCCGACTTACCCGCTCACATCCCCGCAATCGTCTCGTCGTGTGAGTACCTACGTATCTTCAACGTGGTAGAGCCACGCTGCAGCTATATTACGGTTACAGCACGAATAGGTCGGCTCTACTGGGGTAGGAACACACTCTCACAGAATACCAGCTTAAAATAGCAGCATATGCTGCTGTTTCGTATGGTTAGAGAGAGAACCGGAGACAAGAGCGTTAAGCTGCTATTTACACTGGAACACTGTGAGAGCGTGATCCGTGGTATACCACGTCAAAAAGGTATAACTTATTAAATGATTAATTTGAAT